TAGATCTGATTGCGAAGAAAATTCTATGAAAAACGGAAGGAGAAATTTTCACAGATTTCCCTGAAAATTCGTATTTCATCAAGGGAAATTTGATAACGTCGAAAGCCTCATACGGCTTTCCTCTATTTCGCATGGCAGCATTCTGGTAAATCCTGATTCCAATCTTGAATCGGTATACGGTCAAAATCAGCCTCCTCATTTTTCAACGAGTCAAAAGGATAATCATTTTCGACTGCAGGCTGCCTTCAATTGGACTACATTTTGCAATTTGGAACTATAAATTCTGGCTCTTCTGGAAAAACACTTATGTGCATAGGGAAACTAATGGCACATACGTTGTTTTTAAACCGGGCTAGAATTTATAGTTCCAAATTGCAAAATGTAGTCCAATTATAGGAGCATCTCAAAACTCTGAAATTAAGGCACACATATTCCGAGTTGTTCGGGGGAGTGTCGGCCTAGCTCGAGGTTCTAGGGATGATAATTATTTTTCTGAGTCCCTCCCCCGGAAAATTTTGAAAATCCATATTATGTAAACCGGCCGCAATCCCTACCATTTTAGAGACCAAAATATTTATTTTGGTGATAACCACGATAGATACGTAACGAATGGGTGCCTGTGGACCCACTCTGACCATAAATAACACCATTTGTCGACTTGATATAAGGGGGGGGGAGGGGGTTGAGCAGCTAGATTGGGGTTTTGACACACTGTGCAAGGGGTCTTAAAAATATTTTATCACGAAGTGAAACGAGGATAGTTACTTAAGTACAGTTGGGAAATGCGTATTTCCAATTGGGACATTGAAAATATCTGCTCGTGTTCAATTTTTTTACGAGCAAACTAACCAACACTTTTCTTTGAAATTCTCCGTCAATTACTTCCAAAGTATCCAAGAAAATTCGCAGAATATTTCAAGGAGATATTTTCGTCATTTTGATAAAATGAAACATAATCGAAGAAATATCCTCACCTTGCAGAAAAGTATCACACGCGCCATGCATGCGACGTTTAAAAATTTCCGCCGCCATTTTATTTTTTTACAGAGAAATTGTTGGTTGAATCTTTTTCAAAATTTCACTGAATTTTATCGGCAGCACAATGAAAATTTAGTGACATTTTCGGACAGCTTCGTTGAAAAATTTCTCTGTAAAAAAATAAAATGGCGGTGGAAATTTTTAAACATAGCAAGGCGCTTGTGATATACTTCACTGAAAAAAAAATCTAGGTGTATTTACTAAGAAAAGGGTAAAATTACCAAGAATTCAGGGTTCTATTTGATCCCAGTTTTTTCTTGGTAAAATTACCATTTATGGAATTGGTAATTTTACCGAGCAATCTCGGTAAAATTATTAAACTTTCTCGTTAATTTTACGGGACCTTGGTAAAAACGCCAATATTTTTTATCGACTTTGGTAGAATTACCGAGATAATTACCGGGAATTGATTACCAATAAAATAGGTATTCTTACCTGAAAAAAACAGTAAAAATACCGGTTTTTAGGTAAGCTTACCAGTCTGTCTTGGTAAAATTACCAATAATTGGTAAAAGAAGTGAGATGGTAAAGGTAGCAACGGACCTTGGTAAAAACGCCGAGAATTTTTTTTTCAGTGTTTGGCCGGAAGGTGACGATATACGAATATAAGCATTTCCTGACTTTAGCCATCAATAACAATTTATTTTACTCCTCGACAACACACTGCGTGTGTTCTCGACCCGGGGAGGAAAAATCCGAGAGGGACGGAAGCAGGGAGGGAGACCGGTCAAATACAAATTATCCGACTTCCAAACTGTTGAGAGGGGAGAAACAAGGGACTTTCATACGACACAGAGATACCGCGCGATAATGCTGAAAAGAGGGCGTTCTCCTCGAGATTATTAAACGGGACAAGACGGTGCAGCACCCTCCCGAACGTCCTTCCCTATTAATCCACTTTTCCCAGATGGATTGACTCACGTCCCGCGGACTGCCCTACCGGCTGACGCATGAGCCATGACTTTCACAAAAACCTCGGCTCGTAGCTCCGATTCTCAAGGGGCTCGGAATGGCGAATGAACTCGAGCTTGAAACCAATTTCGCATCGAAGATATTGTAATATATTTCAATGAGGTAGTCAGTGGATAAAAGGGTGTGGAGCGGGAAGGTTACAGCCCGGCAAGAGAGGGTTTGAACCCGCAACTTCGCTTTGATTTCCAAATTTCCGGAATTTTTCCTTGACTTTTCAAGGTTTATGAACGTGAAATTTGAACACCTTTTTCTAAGTTTTTGAGGAGTTACACTGTGGATGCCCGGATTTGTGGTTAGGCGACCGAGGCGGTTGCTTGTCAGGGGCGTAGCTAGGAAATTTCTCTGGGGGGGGGGGGACGAGATTTCT